CCCCAAAACCCCAAAACCCCAAAACCCCTACACTTTTTATCCTTGCTGAACTTAATTATATATAATAAAACTTATCAACAATGACTTCTGTATTAGAGCCTAACAGATTCTCAAATCACCACGACTGGGCTGAAAGAGCTATCGAACATTCTTGAAAGATAGGTAAGTAAACGTAGGAGCTTCCGTCCAGAGCTGGGATTATCTAGCCCTGGTCTATATTTATTGGTTGATAACGAAGCAACCGTGACTTCAAGGTTATGAACAAGTTTTAGATTGATACAGTCTGTCCAATATGCCCTTAATGATGTCTTTAACATCTTTAAAACAAGGCATAGCCTCGTACCAAGCTTTTAATCAAGATTTTAATATAGGTAAAGGAAGTACAGAGTGGAAAATTGAAATAGATCAGATCTTAGATGAGCCTTCCGAATATCTTAAAACTCTTATGAATAAGCAGACTACTGGTTGTAACAAGGTAGAACCTTGAAACTGCGGAGGACTGTATTGTGAAAGATACCTCATAGAGTTCCCTTCAATTACTATGCATACATTGATATAAGTGCCAAGCTTGATAAAGCTAATATAAAGTACAAAGAAATTCGCCCGAAGTCAAGCAAAAAAGCTTCTAAGAATAATACTGTATCCTGCAATAGTGAAATATTCAATTGAAATGGATGCTTTTCCAGATCTCAGCTCTGGGACTTAGCAAGCATCATTCCTTATGCAGTGTTTTGTATAGGACTTTTTAATAGTGTTTTGTGAGTCCTGTTCCTAAATATCGATCTACACTTGAGGATCCCGCTAGCGTTTCTCATCATCATATTATTTTTCTGAATTTCAGTCTGCACACAGAAACTTATTCAGACTTGTAGTAAGTTAATTTTCAAAGCTGTCTAGAATTATGTATCACTTGTTATCTACTCCCAATTTATGATTTTCAAATAGTGTTTTGCATGAACATTTTTCAGAGTCTCTTGTGCTGTCCTGATCAGCTATATAGTCCAGAATACCACAATCGACTCAAGGTCATGGGGAGATAAGTCCCAAGTCTCCAAGCAAAATTTTAAGAAAATAGGTAATATTTTGCTTTGTTAATTATGAAAATCTGGGAATTATGAAATTTTCGAAAATAAGGCTTCATATTAAGCTTTCATACAGCCAACAACATACTCCACTCAAAGAGGCTTGACCTTACTCTACACTGACGTTGTCAGGAAACACTAGTCCAGCCTGATTGTAAGACCTATCTGCTCTAATATTTAGTGGAAAGCAGCCAGCAAGATAACTCAATGTAATTTTTCCTAAGAAAATCATATATAATCTCTAAAATTTTATTTTAGCTCAAATCCAGAATTTGATGACCATGAGAGCGAAGAGTTCCAAGAGAACTCGCATGTCCCTCTCCAGAAGAAGAATATCTACCAGGATTTGCACCAAGAAGGATCTCCGACTGATTTGGTATAGCTCAGTGTGCTAATTTATTAGAGAGAGGCTCAACATGAATCAGAGGAAGATAAGGAAGCTCAAATTATTGAAGGTCCTCAGCGAGCCCAGCCATCTAAGAGTATCCTCTAGTTTATCCTTTAGAGTATAGGATCAATGTGATCTCTAATAAAGAAGATAAACTAGCTGGAAAGCGCAAGTCAATATTAAAGAAGAACAACTTCTTCATAAAATGTTTTAAAACAGGCTATCCCCCAAACAACTCTGTGCTTAAGTTTCAGCAGTGGGATGACCAAAATCGAGAGAATTTTTGGTGGCAAAATCGGCTGCATAAGCTCCAAAAGATGATTGAGAAGACAACCATTGAGGATACCCATAAGTCTTGGACAAACGCTAGACTGCACGACTCGGTATTTAGTTACGAATCTATGGGAGCCAAGAATGTGAAGGAAGATGCTTCCAATATTATGAATAAAAACCCAAACATCATTACTAGCAAAAGTGCGACTTCTAGCAGACTTTATTCCAAGAAGGATTAAAGGAAAATATCTTGAACAGCTCTAGGATTGTGAATCAAATTACTAAAATTTTGCCTTCAGAGAAACAAATCGGATTACAAAAATCTCTAATATTGCCAAGTAAGTGTGAGTGCGTGATTATCCAGAGAGCAAGAAAAATTCAGCATCTCAACTACTTATCAAAGCTCTAAAAGGTCGTAGGCTAGAATACACTAAGAGAGAAGAAAAGCCACAAAAAACTAGCGGAGAGTCAGCCAGAGACACCCCTGCTAGTATCAAAATTGATACTCTTGTAGCAGGTGGTCAAAGTCAGTTCTCCAGAAAGAAGAAGCAAAATTTCCGTTCAGCTGTATATAGCCTATTTCATACCATAGAAAATGAAAGATGTAAGCATCAGGAGCATACTTCAACAGATAGAAAAGGAGGATAATACTGAATCTAGCCATTTGAAAGATATTGACACTCCCTTTGAATCTATAGATAGCTCAATGAGCCAACATGACTTGGACGAAAATAGAAGCAGTGCAAAACATCAAACTTTAGCTATAAGTATTACAGCCAGCCCTGATAAAATATCTAAGCCCCATAGTCGCATATAAGAATACTGGCCGAAGCTCAATTTGGCAGAAATGATAGCTCATCTTGTGATATAACGAGTCTTTTAAACCTAGCATCGCCAAAGAGGCTAATTTTTTGAATAAAATTAAAGCTTGTGCATAACAAATATTCAAAACATAACCAATGTTACTACGGAGAGGAGATTCTTTAATCTACCTTTCATATCGAGCATGCCCATATTTCAATATTATCTACCCCATAAGGGGTTTTGGGGTTTTGGGGTTTTGGGGTTTTGGGG